ACATTTTCCTCCCTACCCACCCCAGTTCACTTTTTTAAAAAAAGAATATTCATTTACTGTTGCATAACTTCCTCTTTCCCCCAAGTTTTGGGAATTTTGAACTTTTTTTTTCCATTAAAAAAAAAAATCAAGCCTCTAGGAAACATTTATTGAGATGTGCTCCTGGTCAGCTCTACTCTTGATGCTGTAGAGAACAGGCTAAGAGATTATCACAGGCCAGTAGAGGAGACAGAGCGTAAATTAGTAGTACTCAGGGGAAGCAGTGAGCCCTTGACAGATCCCAGGAGAGCAGGGCAACTCCTCGGAGGACATAGTTTGGTCTCAAACACTGAATAAAAGCTGTAGTGTGTCCACTCAGCGGTGGTCACCAAGTGTGGATTCGTCTATGAACAGGCCATGTTTAAGAGCAATGCATACTCTGATCCAAGACCATCAGCTCAAAATTATAAACACTGTAGGCCAAAAAAAAAAAAATTAAAATTAAAAAAAAACCCAACAATAAAAAAACCACTGTAGGCCTGGAAAAAAATAACATTGAAAGGCTACCTTCAGTCTAAGGGTCACCATTTTCTACCTTGTTGTAAGTAGTGTTTCAGTACACAGGTCTGCCTAGCACAGCATGACTTATCTCTGGTTTTGGTAAGAACCTAGCCATCATCTGCAGCAGAAACTTTGGGAAATTTCCTCATTCTTCTGCTAGTGAGCACAGAAAGTCTGAGTCATCCCAGTCAGCCTGAACACACACAGGACTCTTCTGCGTCAGAGATTGGCTGTGATTAGCATCAGAGATTTATTCTAGGAGCAAGCCAGGATCTTTGAGACCATCTGGTTGAACTCTGTCCATTTCACAAGCAAGAAAAGGAAGGTCAGTGGGTCTTTGTGAGCCACTTACTGTATTTATAAAATATGAGTGGTTCTTTGTCCAGTCAGTGTCTTCTCTTAGTTCTTTTCTGAGCACTTGAGCTAATTTTTTCTCTTGACTCAAGTGTCACTGTGTTGTTGTTTTTACAATAACTAATTTTACTTCTACCCATGGCTCCAGACCATATTCTCCCTAGCCAGACAGCCTTCATTTGTTTGTACAACATTTGTTATATAATATTTGTTGTAACTTCACTGTGTTCTCGTACTTGATAATTATGATTAAGAGGATAATAACCAGTAACCCTTAGTGCATTCTGAGTACCTCATATATATTGACTGTGTAGCTGCATGAGGTACATATTATTATTAATCCATTTTGCAGATGAGGAAGTGAGGCACAGGGAGGTTAAGTAACTTTCTCAAAGCCTCAAAACTAGCAAGAGAGGGGGGCAGGATTAGATCCCAGACAGTGGGATCCAGAGCCCATACCATTAGGCATTATCTTGTTTAATCATGAGAAGGACACTTTCCCCTTGGTTAAAGGCTTTGTAATCTATTGAGAGTGACCAATACAAACATCTAATTATAATATACTGTGTGAAGTGATACAGAAGGAATGTAAAGGGTCCTGAGAGATCAGAAAAGGGAGTGATTGATTCCATCCATGGATGGATGCAAGAGAAATAATAAAATGTATATTATATGTAAGAAGCTCTGGTGGTGTAGTCTATAGGGACTTGTGCTGCTAACCCAGAGGCCACGCTTCTCTGGCAGCTTGACTCCACCTCTCTCTCCAGAGGAAAAAGATGGACAGTCCCCTGGTGTTTAATTTACAACCTTGAAGACCTGATAGAGGTCTTCTATGAGTGAGTATATGATAAAAACAATAGCTTAACCTGTTGAAAGCTGACTCAGTTCATTGGTAGCGACGAGGGTCAACGCAACACTCTGTCCTCAGCAGAAGAGAGATCATCTGCATGTGCCTGGAGGCATGTGTGTGGGTGAGGGGCTTCTTGGCCTCAGGACTATCCCATTTCTTGTGGCCATAATTGTAGGGGAAACCAACTGCCATCAAATTGGTTCTGACTCCTGGTGGCCCTCCATCAAGTTCTGAGGCTGGAAATCTTAAAGGGAGCAGAATGCCTCTTCTTTCTCCCTCAGAGCAGCTGGTAGATTCAAGCCACTGACTTTCAGTTAGCAGCCCAACTCATAAACCCTTGTGCCACCAGTGCTTGTTACTTATAAGAGGTGTCCAAATTTCGGAAATGTTCAATTGTAGGAAAGAAATCTGCCAGTCATAATTCACCTTCCTGTACCAAATCCACTAAGGAGGGGGACTAGGGGCCATTGACCACACCTTTTTAACTGCCCACCAGGGAGCCCCAAATAGGAGAGCATTCAACAAGAAAAATGACTCATGTCGGGTTTAGTGTGCATCCCAGAAAGCATTTTCTTAACTGCATTTCTGAACTTTAAATTACTGGATTATGGTCACAAGGGGGACCAAGTGAGAGCGTAGTCAGGTCAGTGATGAATCAGCCATCCTCACTGGACAAGCAAGGCCAATGCAGGTCTCCCTGGTGTTCCCAGAGGATGGCACGCTCATTCATCTGCCGAGCGGCTCTTCCATGACCCAGTGCTATTTAGAAGACAGGCTCAGATGACAGTAGCACCGTCTGTTCCCTGGAAGGCAGTTTGTTCTGGCTCTGCAGGGACAAGACTGAGTGAAATCTGGCCTCCAAATCTTCACGTTCTGCTGCATGACCCATCCAGTAGGGCTTTGATTTTCCTCTGTTCTTACCTGACTGTTGACAGCTATGAAAATAAATGCCAGCCCTCATTCTGAGATCTGCATTTGTTCCCATAGGACAAAAGGGGTTAGGGTTCACAATGAGACAAAATAAAGATGTAGAAATGTGCAAAGAGGCATGGTGGTATGATAAATGCCACGCTGTGGGCGGTGGTTTCCTCGGGACCAGAAGGGTGGCTCCCCAGGGGGCTGCAGCACTTGGAATATTTTGCTTTCTTTTTTTAGATGTATGACTCCAGTTTCTTTAATCAATGACTCACCTTAATGATGTTCCTCAAATTCATGGAAACTTCAGTTCATTAATCTCCTATCTTTTTGATCTTTCTCCTCTAGATACTCTCTGATCTTCCTAAGTTACCTTTTCCTTCCATCCTCGAAGCCGGCCATTGTCCTATTCTGGGTGCTTGCACGTCTGTGATTTTCTGTAGTGTATGGGGAGCCCTGGGGCAGAGTCCTTAGCAAGTTGTGCTGCTAACCCAGCTCTCTTGGAGTTCACATTCACTGGTGGGCAATCTCTTCCCACATGATTTACAGCCTCAGATACCTGAAGGAGAGTCAGCTACATCTCTCATTGCTGTAAAGGATTCCAGCTTGACAGCAGTGAGTGATAGCCATGAGATCTCAGGTGACAAGGTTTACAGTGATTTGAACTCACCCAGTGGCGTCATTTCCATGAAACACCTAACAATCTTCCCCGTGAAGATTAGCGCCAAGAAAACCCAATGGAGAGCAGTTCTCTTCTGTGTAACATGTGGCATTGCAGTGAGCCAGAGTCAGCTTGGAAGCAACAGGTTCAGTTTAGGGGAGTGGTAAGGAATTGTGCTGTTAACCCTGTGCTACACAGTCCAAATCCACCAGCTACTCTGTGGGAGAAAGATGGCCAGTCACTTCCCATGGGATTTACTGCCTGTGAAAACCTGCTGGAGAGTCAGCTATGAGTCGGTTCCAACTTGATGGTGCTCAGCAACAACAACAGTCCATTAGGCTGCTCAATATTGCTTGTATTTTTCACATGACTGCAGCAATGGGCTCAAGATGGTGAGGATGGCACAGAATAGGACAGGGTTCAGACCTGTTGTTCACAGTCACAGTGACTCGTACTTGACTCAACGGCACCTAAATAACTACTGCTACTAATACTACATATCCTGTGAAACTGGGTTCCCCCCCCCCCAAGGCTTGTGTATGTTGACTCAAGGGGATTTAGTTCCTTTTCACCACTGTATGATGTTTTATTATAAAAATAGCCTAGACTTACCTTTATAATATCTGAAGCAAACATAGAAAATGTCACAATTCTTTCCTTTCATGCTGGATAGTTCAGCATGCTTAGTATTTTCTATTTGTATGTATGTGTGAAGGTTTTCATAATTTGAAAAAGAGAAGAGTACTTGAGTAGGAATAAGGAAAAGTAACACCTCATCTGGGCTCTGGATTGAGTTGGGTTAAGACTGATGCCACAGTTTATCATTCTGCAATTAAAAATAAACTTTGTGGGACAAGCCTCCTCTTGTTTGCTTTTTTGTGGGAATCTGCCTCCCAGGGGAAATGCCCACAAGCTGTGAGCACAGGTTAAGCAGGGTGTTTATTTAATTGTGTGAGTATGGAGAATGTTGGTATGTGGCCAAAGCTAAACAGAACTTATTATAGGCCTGGTCATTTTTAAAGAGAAATTGGCAAGACACCATTTCACAAAGTAACTGTGAAACATAACTTCTAGAAATATTTATAACATACTTAAACTATAAATAGCTCAACTGATAAATATTGGACACAGTTTCACCCAGGCCAACCTTTGACCTCTTTTGTGCTTTAAAAAATGAGAGCATAGAGAAGATTCATTAGTGTTGTTCCTTGGGCACCCTGCGGAGTTCCAAGTGGCCTCCAGGTCGTCTTCTCTCTATCTCAGGTCCTTTTAGAAACATGAGATTCTGAAAGAAGTGAGAGCTTTGATCCATAGTCTGTGGCTTTACAGAGCCATTCTCAATTTTGCCATTGATCAGAAAGACTGTCTTAGATAAAATAGCACACAAATGGTAACTAACCAAAGTTACGAATTTGGGAGTAAGCAGTGCTCTGTCTAGGTGACCATGAACTTCTCTTTTCTCTCTTGTTTCTTTCCTACCAAGGGGTCCCATGATTCCTAGCTGTAGCCACATGAGTCCAGCCCTGGGGGTCTTGTTTGAAAAGGGTCTCGGGTTACAAGGCCCCCACTGTCTCTAGCCTGCAAACAGGCCCTCTGTGGCACTAGGAGGTGCTTCCTGCATTGTCCTGGTGCACATCTCTCTGAACTATGGAGACACTGACATCTGCTCTCTCCATCCAGGATATGACTTCTGCCAGGTCCTGCAGTGGTTTGCAGAGCGGGTCGACAGGATCATCCTGCTCTTTGATGCTCACAAGCTGGACATCTCAGACGAGTTCTCAGAGGCCATCAAGGCCTTCCGGGGCCAGGATGACAAGATCCGTGTGGTGCTCAACAAGGCTGACCAGGTGGACACACAGCAGCTGATGCGTGTCTATGGGGCTCTCATGTGGTCCCTGGGCAAGGTCATCAACACCCCGGAGGTACTGCGTGTCTACATTGGCTCCTTCTGGGCACAGCCCCTACAGAACACCGACAACCGCAGGCTCTTTGAGGCCGAGGCCCAGGACCTCTTCAGGGACATCCAGAGCCTCCCACAGAAAGCAGCAGTGCGCAAACTCAACGACCTCATCAAGCGAGCCAGACTGGCCAAGGTGAGCGGGAGACACTGTGGGCAGCAGCTTTGTGCTGAGGTTACTTCATCTCTAAGGGGAGAGTTGAGGTGGAGACAACACTACCTTAGAAGCTATAGGAGTAGAACCTGTAATGGGCTGAGAATGCAGCACAAGGTCAGGTTGTTGTTGCTATTAGATGCTGCTGAGTCTGCTCCCAACTCAAGGAGACTCATGCACAGCAGAATGAAATACATGATCAGTTGGGGCCCAGGCCGTTGTCATTCATAGCGTTTTCATTGGCAGATTTTTTTCAAGTGGATTGCCAGACCTTTCCGCTTAGCCTGCTTTGAAGCCTGTTCAGCGTCGTAGAAACACTACTCTCCACTGATACAGATGATAACTCTGCATGAGGTGCACTGGCCAGGAATCAAACCTGGGTTGCTCCTGTGGAAGGCAGAAATTCTATCCCTGAACCACTAGTGCCCCATCAAGATCAGGTAGCCCTGTGTAAATTCCAGCTTCTGGCTCTGTGATATTGGGCAGTGATTTAGCCTTTCCAAACCAGCTTTCTAATCTATACAATGGGGCTAGGAGAGAACTTCATAGGACACTGGTGACGATTCAGAGCTGCAGGACTTGCAAAGCGCCTAACAAAGAGCCTTATCCACAAGAAGGATACATGCATGCAGGACCTGAAAGCTTATGTTACTGAGCATGGGATGTGACAAGCTGACTCAGAGAAGTGACGCTGATAGGCCAGCCCATCACTGAGATGCTGCCACTAATCACCATGTTCCCGTGTGTAGAACCTGATGTCTCTGAGGTGCTGGAGGAGCCCTGGGAGGACAACTTAGGGTGACTTTAGGGTGTGCTGGTTGGAAAGCCAAATCTGGCCCAAGTCTGGGTTGTACCCTGTGGCACTGTGTGCCAGGTTCTTGTCTGCCCTCCTCGTAGCTGAGGTTAAGGGGTGGGTGGTAGTCTGATAACCACCACGTGCCAGAGTCAACTCTGTCACACATCTCATGTGACTCTTCCAAGAGAAAGTACAGGAACAAATGGCAGAATAGGGCAAGGGTCTGATCTTTTGTTCATAGGGTTGCTGTGAGTTGACAATTCCACAACACCTAACAACAGCAGAATTTCTTTTTTTTTTTTATTTCAATGAAAATTTACAGAGACTTTGGATTTCCATCCATTCATTGTTGCACTTTTCTCCCTGTCCACCCCTCCCCCCGCCCAGTACACTCTTCTCTTTGAAAAGTAAAAGAAAAATTCTTTCATTGTTTTACAATCCCTTCCCCCAGGTCCACTCCACTATGCAGCCTTTGTTCTAGACTCCTGTCATGATAGTAATACCTAATCATATATTCCTTTTAGACAGTTCTCTCCCTCATCTGTTTCAATGCAATATGCATTCTTTATCCCATCTTTCTCAGTCTCCCCCCTACCCCGATGTCAGTCCTGTTTTACAACAGTGGCACCATGCAGTATTTGTCCTTTTGTGACTGAGATATTTCACCAGCATAATGTCCTCCAGAGTCACCCATTTTGAATAATATTGCATGAGTTCCTTGTTTTTCATGCAGCATAGTATTCCATTATGTGAATATACCAGAGCTTCTCTATCCATTCGTTTGTTGATGGGCACCTAGGTGGTTTCCAACTCCTTGCTATTGTGAACAAAGCCACAATAAACATAGGTGTGCATATATCTGCTTGGGTAGCAGTTATGGTCTCTTTGGGGTATATTCCCAGTAATGGAATTGCTGGGTCACATGGTATCTCTATTTGCAACTTTTTGAGAAAGTGCCACACGGCCTTCCATAGTGGTTGCCCCATTTTACTCCTCCACCAACAGTGAATAAGGGTTCCAGTTTCTCCACAACCTCGCCAGCATTTGTTGCTTGCTGTTCTGTTAAATTTTGCTATTCTTACTGGGGTGAGATGATATCTCATAGTTGTTTTCATAACAGCAGAATTTCTTAAAGTCACAATTTTCTATGCTGAGCATGCCTTCTGAGTTAATTTAGTTCCAGTAAAGTCCAAAACTGGCTGATCATCAGAAGTACCTAGTGATTTCTCTTTCTGTCTCTCTCTGTCTGTCTGTCTGTCTGTCTCTCTCTCTCTCTCTCTCTCTCTCTCTCACACACACACACACACACATACGCGCGCGCGCGTGCAAACACACAGTATGTATCTGTGAGAGAGAGAAGTTCCCAGTGATTCTGATTATCAGCCAGGTTTGGGAAACAGACATCCTGGTGACTCCCTAATATTACAAGGACAGCAGGGTAGGAAGGTGGTTCAAGCCAGGACTAGAGAAAGGCCTCCTGGCTCGCAGTCTGGTCCTCCTTTTGGGCCCCATCAGTTGGCCTTATCCCCCTCCTCAGGTCTGCGTCTCCACATCCACTACCTGGGTTAGGAAGCAAGGTCTCGACACTCTGCTGTTAGCACACCTGCTACTCCATCTTCTGGTGGTCAGAGGCCAGGCTCCTCCCACGCTCTTCTTGCTTCATGTTGAGTGGCTTCTGGTCTGACCCTGGGCCCAGGTCAGCCTCCTGGAGCCCAGCCGCTTCACCTTATCCCGTCAGCACTGACTCAGCAGCCTTGGGGCAGGGCTGGGAGCCCGCCGCCTGGAGGAGGAGGGAGGTGCCACCGAACCCCTTGTTACAGAATGTTGAGCTGTGTTCTACTTGAGGGTACAAATGGTGTTGTGGGTCCTCTGAGAAGGTGACAGGTGTCACTGAGGTCAACAGCTGAGCTGGAATGTACTTGCCAGTATCATCTTCTGGTGACTTCTCAGCAGGCCTCATCTTCATGTCAGTGCTCAAAGAGCAGCTCCCTCAGCTCCCACAAAAGGAAGCTGCTCCCTCAGCTCTCACCACCCGTTGGCTCGTGCTGCCCCTTGTGCAGCCTCGGTTGACTCTTTTCCTCCCTGCTGAACTTCTGTCCCAGTGTACCACACACATTCCTCCCCTGGCGCTCAGCTAATTTGCAGTCGCACGGCACTAGTGTGAGTCACCATCCTTTACCCTTTCTTCCTGGTACTGGCTGCTTCCTTCCCCACTGGCAGCCACTTTTGTTCCAGTTCCACAAGCCAATTGTGCAAACTGGTTTGATCCTTCTTGTGAAGCTACTTGTGGGAAGCCTCTCCTGAGGCAGTTTCTCCCTCATGCTTGCCCTGGGCCTCAGGCTTGGTTTTGTGAAGTCTGTGTTTGCTTATTCTGTGACCCCTTGGCGTGTAGAATCTCTCTTCTCTGTCTGTACAGATACACAACACTAGTTCATCCACAAAAGCTGGTAAATGATGTCCATAACCTTTGCAGATGTCGTGGGTTTTAGAATTATTTTTAAAATCCCATGAGCATTTGTGTCCAGTCATGTAAGTAAATATTCCCTAGGATTGCCAAGCACCATAAAACTTCCCCACCATCCTTCAGTGGCCAGTGTGGCCCACACTGAGATGCACTGACTGCTTCCCTGTATTCTGACACTATGAATAATGAAAAGCCTGTGTGGACATGGGGGCGGAGGGAGGCAGTCAAATTTGCTGAGCTTACTTCTAGGGGGTGGGGGGAGAACCTGCTTGTATTTTTTTCTTCCTAAGAATAGTATCTGGCTTGTTCCTTTTCATAAGGGAAAATGTTTGAAGTGCGGATGTCTCCAGCTTGCTCTTCTCAGTACCAGGCTGCTTGCGGGCAGCACCGTGCTGAGGAGGGTGGACAGGAAACAGCCCCCAGCAGACAAGAAGCAAAACTCAGCACAATGGCCTTGGCCACAAGCTGATGACATTCATTTTTTCACCATCTGTAGCTTTTTGTTCCATTTGTGAGCTTGCTTTTGCTTATGTGGACAAGAGGTCACCTGGGTTTTTCTCTCTGGAGCATTTCTGTTTTGTGAAATACTCTCTTTATGTTGCTATATTAGTTTTATTTCTCCAGCTCCGATTTTGCTTTTGTTAGCCAGCCCTTACTAAGAGTCCAGTGTTCTAGAAGCCACTCATTTTGCATGACAGGCATCATATCGGTAGCTGCTGTCAATAATGATGTGCAGTTGAGCATTATTATCCTCATTTCACACAGGAGAAGGCTGGCACACAGTAAGGTGAGGCAGCGTGCCCAGGCTTCAAAGCCCCCTTGCAGAATAAAGATTTAAATCCTAGGCATGCAGACTCTTAGAAAACACTCACGTGACAGCTCAGACCCAAAATAGACAGCATCTAGAATAGCTCTTTACTTAGGCCCTGGCTAAATTAAATAAACTATGGACTGCTAAGAAAACAGGTCGTTCCTGGAGAGGGTGAAACCAAGCTGCTCCTTGGAAGCAAGGATTTCAAAGCTCCTTCTGACATATTTTTGACATGTTGCAAGGAGGGATCAGTCCTTGGAGAAGGACATCATGCTTGGAAGGGTGGAGGGACAGCACAAGAGAGGAACACCCAGAATGACATGGATTTGACTCAGTGACTAGGGTAATAGGGGTAGGTGTGTCAGAGACAATAAGATTGGCCCAGGATACAGCAGGGTTCAGCTGTTGTACATAGGGTCGCTATGAGTTGTAGTCAACTCAGTCCTGGCTTTCTCCATGAATCTTTTTAATTGTTGGGTTTTTATTTGTATTTATTCTATAAAAATTCCCCATTCACACTTCACCAAAGAAGACATTCAGATGGCCAAAAAGCACATGAAGAAATGTTCAAAAATAGCTCTAAGAGAGATGCAGATCAAAACAACTATCCGATATCATCTCACCCCAGTCAGAATAGCAAAATTTAACAGAACAGCAAG